TATCTGTATGGTGCTTGAACATCTTTATATAATTGCAAGGGTTTTTCATAAATACAAAAATGACCCCAAATTCAGTGAAATTATATATTCTATAGAATTAAAGTTTAGAAAATATCAGAAAGACTTGCCTATATTATTTCCTTTATCATTTGTCATGTATCCCCGATAAATTTATTAGGTATTAGATTTCAAAAGTTTTAACTTTTAATACACCTATAACTTATAGAAATTTATAACAAACTTTATGTAAAATATATAAATTATATGCAGAACGAATGGGTACAAATATTAGTTAGGCACCCTCTGTACCTGCTCCTCCCGCTGATGTTGAAGAAGAAGACACTTAAATATTAAGCTTATTTGAGGCATTAATGCATATAGATGTGATGCAATAGGTTCTTCTAGTAGTAATATGTCTACCGCACGTAATCAGACATCGGACGCAAGTCCAAATGCATTGCCTGCTGAATTACTTGATTGCTTTAATCATAATATGCCTAATAATAAAACGATTAAAAAAGTTCAAAAGAAGTAATTAAATTCTGGCAAAAGTACGAATAACGATGATCAGTGGTTTCTGCGATTGTAAAAAATCTACTAATATATCTTGTTAGTATTGTAGTTTCAGAGTTTGCTTTTAGTGTGGTATGATGGTTTTGTCCGAGGTCAAGGTCCGACTGAAAGAAGATATTTTGAAAGCATTAATGTATGTGAGGAATTGACAAGACGCTCATTTTCGACTGCAAGATAAATATGCCCAAATTGCATGTCGTCAAGTAAATGATATTTAATTTAATCATATTAATAAAATTTGTTATTTCATTATACTATTTTTATTTTTTTTAAAAAAAATTGTACACGTAACAAGTTGTTCGTGTACAATTTTTAATTTCGCCTACTTGAAATTTAAGTAATCGATTTCAAGCACGGATAAAGGAAGAGAGTTTTATCTTCTTCTTTTTAAAAAAAAAAAAAACAATTTCGCGAGTCGAAGCTCGGCTCGACCCATGACCCTGAGCTCGAGGACTGAGTCGAGGTAGGCCATCGAGGAACGAGCCGAGCTCGTGGGCAATTGGGCTGAGTTGGCCTTGCCCATTGCCACCCCTAGGTAGTACCGATATCATTTTGCCATGCTAATCATGTTTTACAGTATTTACACTCTGCGATTCAACCAATAGTACAACATGTTGAAATCAACTATAAGTGTTCCCAACACTTCAAAGATTTTTTTCCTTTTCACTTCCCTCTTGTATCAGGAATTTGTAGTTCGGCTCCCCCGACGTCTTCATCATGTTTTCAAATCAATTCGATTACTACTTCCACGTGCATCGTCAACACCCATTCTCGATGAATCTTCGAGTATGGAGACGTCGTTGAGACCGACAAATTCATTGGGAAATTGTGATTTTGACGTCATAGGTGATTGGTCACCGAACAAGCCCTCAACAAAATCACGAGGATCCATTTGTATTATGTAATAAAAATATAGAATGTAGATTATAGTGTAGAGAATAAAGTTAAAATGCATAGATTGGATAATCTGTAGTGTAGAGAATGAATTAAGAGAAGATAATGAATGAATGTATGTGTATGTAATATAATTGTTGAGAGTAGAATAATTGAATGAAAGAATTCTTGTAGAATGTAGAGAGAATAGAGAGAGTGTTGAATTTGTTATGAAAAAAAGGGTAAAATTTTAATGTATTTATAGAAGAAAAAAATAAAAAATTAGAGGCCGTTGGGGGCCAACGGTCTCTTTTTCAAAACTTTAGAAAGTGACCAAACGGTCACGGCTCGCGGACGGCAACTTATTTGAGCCTGACTCGTGGGCTCGCCCTAAAACTAACCTCCTAAGTCGTCCTGGCCTAAGCTTTTTCGAACCGAGTCGACGAGCTACGCTGCTCAATTGCCATCACTAGTGTGTATTCGTGAACTTGATTTTAGGCAATATATGGTTAATTGCTTTAGGGTCTGTTTGATTGCAAGTGCGGAAAATGGGTGGAAAGAAAATGAATTCCAGGGAAAGTAATTACCTAGAAATTATTTTCCATAGAATTGTTAATTAAGAGTGTTTGATTGGTATAATTTTCGACCCGAAAAATTTTTAAATTTTGTGTTCGTTTAACTTTATTGTACATAGAAATTGTCCATTAAAGTGATAATTTTTTCCACAATTGGTTATAAAATTTGTTTCCATTGCCAAAAAGTAAAAAATAAAATAAATTTTTTCCTAAAAAATCATTTTTTTAATCCAAGTTTAATGGTCGTTTGATTTTGTTTTACATGAAAATTGTCCATTAAAGTGAAATTTTTTTTTTACAGTTAGTTATGAAATTTGTTTCCATTGCCAAAAAAAAAAAGCCTGAAATTGCATTTTCCCACCATATGTTTTCAATCATTTTGGGTTGATTTTGTTTTACACAAACCAACTTGGGTTGGTTCGATTCAGGGTTTGAAGCATCAGACCGTTGGTGAACCGAACCCACCCAATCCGCCACTTACAATTTTTTTTTATTTTTTTAACTCATAAGTTACAACTCAGAAATTAAGTAAATAACCCTAAAGTAGTAAATCCTAATCTCATACAGTCATAATCCTACTAGCTTGGTGAAGTGTAGTGTCTATTTGTATTACTGGATGATTCAAATAATTTTTATTTGCTCAATTGTGTATTACTTCCAGAACATGTATCTTCATTTGAAGGCTTTCGTTCAACTGCTTGTAAGTTCAATTGAAATTATACTCATTTTGTGATGCATGCAGAATAGATACTACGTGATAAAGTGGGTAAAGACAAGCTGAATGCTTGTACAAATTTGTCAGCTCGAAGATTAATATATTATGTTAGGATCAAACCGATTAACCGAACCTAACAAACCAAACCGATATGGTTTGGGTTGGTTCAGTTTAAGAGCTACATTGGTTTGGTTTGGGTTGAAATTTACCCAAACCGACTAATTTGGTTTTGGTTTCGGGTTGAGGTCGAAACCGACTCAAACTAAATAGCGCCCATGCCTAACTGTAACTTTTGAACAAAGTGGTGACAATAATCGACATCAGTCTAGTGATCATTAGTTCAAAATTTAAGCTACTTGTACATCACTTTTGTATATCATGGATGACTTGTCGAAAGTTCAATTAATTTTACACAGTAATGTTTCAATTTGAGCTCAAATAATTAATAAACTATTGATAGTTAATGATAATTTCCAGCTTTTGCCTTAAATATAGAAAATAAATCATTTTAAGATTCATTGTAAAACACATAATTTGAGAGATATTATTTCGAGACATATTGCTTTCATCTCGTTCTTCATTAAATTAATTTCGAACTTATCAAGAATTAAATTCTTGTGGCGTTCAACACTTTAAGTAATGTTTGTGATCACGGAGTCAAGATATTGTTGCGATTGTCTTAGTTCTTTGGTTCAATAATTTATTGGGTCGAACATTTCAAACGTTAATTCTTGATTTTCTTAGGTTTGATCTAAGATGTCGTGAGTTTTGTAATTTCAATTGTTATGTGAGTTCACATAACATACATTCAAAATTTTATGATATTGTTAAAAGATTATTTTTCAATCATCGTAAATGTACTAGGTGAGTAAATGTCAAGCAAATTCAATAGTGTCATATTTCAATTTAGGAAAATTCGTTTAACAGCAGAAATAGTATTAAAATATGTAAAGTGGAGTAATTTTTGAAAATAAATTATTTTATTGTAAAATCTGAAATATGATATATTTCGAGTGTGTTTGATGGATATTATTGACGAAAAAATGTATTTCAAATAGTAATATGATGTGAAATATGTGGTTAAAAAATAAGAAAACGTTATTGATGTGATGAAAAATATTATTTTATTGAAAAATATATGATTAAAAATAAATTTTAAAAAAAATATATTTTGAAAGAATGTGTATCAAAAAGGACTTCATGTAGATTCCTAAATTTTTCCATTGAGTCAAATCCCTCTCCAAATTTCAATAATTGTATATGTTACTTTCAATGTACACCCTTGTCTGATTTTCATTATTTATTTTATAAAATACATTTTTTTTAAATTTTTAATCACACATTTTCAATAAAATAATATTACATATAAATCAAAAAATTTTCTTATTTTTTAATTGCACGTTCTCCATCAAAATGTTATTCAAAATGCATTTTGAACAAAATAGAACTCAAGGGCATCTGCTAAGGATTAATTTATTTATAAAATTATAAATGACAATTTAGGGCCTGTTTGATGGCTTTGATTTTCCATGGATATTTTTCATTTTTTCACTTTTTAGCTGTTTGATGGATGAAATTTTTTTCCATGGATGAGCCTCACGCGCCCTTTTTCCTTGGAATTATGGAATTGATTTTCTTGTCTTTTGTGTAAAAGATTTTCCAGCTTTTTTTTTTTCTAAACACAATGGTAAAAAAAATATATATTTTTTTTTACAATTTCAATATAAAATAAAGTCAAACGAATGGTATTCGGTGTGTTAATTTTTTTTTTAATTTTTTTGGCAATTAGAACAAATTCTATACCTAATGGTAGAAAAAAATTATTACTTTAATAGACAATTTTCATTAAAAAAAGAAATCAAACGGACACCAAACTTTCAATATTTTCCAGTGGAAAATAATAACAATCAAATACAATTAATTACAATTTTCAATAAAATAATTTTTTGACAAATCAATTCCCTGTAAAATATTTTTTTTTTCAACTATTTTTCATATTTACAATTAAATGGATCCTTAGATGATAATTTGTGTTGACAAAAATTTAGTGATTGTAAAAATAAGTTGATAGGAAAACTGTCAATCTAATTGTACATCAAACATGATTGGATAAATATATAGAGCTTGTCTTGTCAACTTGAAAAATCAATCACCACCCATTGCTCTTCGGACAATTCTCCTTGTACATAGGGGGTGTCATTTGGCCATTATGTGAACCCTTATAGCACCCCCTATGAACCCATAGCAAAACCTTTGCTCTTCACTCACGGATCTTGCAACCCCTTCAACTTGGGCGCGTGCTCTGAAATTCTCCAAACCTTTACAGATTTGTCCAAGCTTCCACTGTACACTATCCAGTTCTGGTCACCTTTCTGCTCCTCCTCCTCATGGTGGTCCTTCTGCACCGCCAAGCACTTGACCGGCCCGGTGTGCCCAGTCAGCACAGCTAAACAGATGTGAATGCCACCCTCTTCCAACCGCCATATGCAAATGCTTTTATCGGCGGAGCCGCTCAACACCAAGTTCCCACCGACAGCCAAACACAGCACCGCCAGTTTATGACCCCTCAGCACGCCGCCGTATGACATAAAATGCTCTTCCCTCTCCCAGAAATTCACCAACCCGTCAGAGGACCCAGCGTACAGCACCGCCGCCGTGGCATTCACCGCCAACGACGTTATAGCGTTTTCTTGCTTTAACAGTGTCTCCACCAGTACATGTTTTGTGTTCCTCCCCACCAGCTCCCTCCTCCACGCCTTCACCGTCCCATCAGCAGAGCCGGTGAACACCAGCCTGTCAAACGCCACCACCACCGAGTTAACCGCATCATCATGGGCTGTAATAGATTCCAAGCATTTCGAATCGGAAATTCTCCATACTTTTAGGGTTTTATCCCAAGAACCTGAATACAACAACCCTTGATCAACATCAACACTCATACTCGAGACTGCATCGAAATGCTTGATCCATGGAACATTCCGCTTTCTTCGTACTTCAACGTTGTTTTTCGGGTTCATAGATTTCTTCAAATAATCTCCGGTGGTCGGCAAATTTCCAATGCGCTTATATGCTTTTCGACCTAAGTATCTCCAAACTCGAATTTTTCCATCTTGATGACCCGTGAAAATCTTATCACCCAACACAACAATTGCTTTAACTAATCCACTGTTCGTTTTAAAACCGGAAAATTCCTTCAAGTTTTTCCAGACCCGAATATTCTTGTTGTCGGATCCTGTGTACAGCAAGTCCCCGGAGGCTGCTAATGAATAGATATGGCATTCTTCTCGTACCAGGGATCCGATAAGTCCGTGTTTGTGCAAGTTTGTGCATTGATTATGTATTGTATCTATCGACGGCGATTTTGTATAAGGGGAGGATTGGTTCCATGGAGATATGTATGGAGAAGAATTGGCGCTGTTCGTCGGAGTTGACGACATGGTGTTGGCAGCGGAGGTGGCAGAAGCGGTGCTGTTTCGAGGTGAAGAGAAATCATTATTGTCTTCCGGATCAGAGTATAAATTGGCTCCAAATTTCCGGCGCCGGGTATTATTTCTCTCCGGGGATAATGATCCACAGTTGAATTTTTGGTTCGCCATTGCACAATTTTTTTGAAGATTCTATGAATAGAGGGAAAATCTGAGGGTGAGAAATGGAAGAGAGGGGTTTATATAAATGACACGTTGCGGCTGCTGACCTACCAAAAGGGTATAATTGAGGGACACGTGGTGGAATGATACGTGAAGCTCACGAGAATGAATTCCAATTTTGATTTTAGATTATTATTTTTTCGGGATTTTTTAGGATTAGTTTGTGCTTGAGATAATTAAGTGGACGATTACCTGACAAAAAAAGGTAAATTATAAGCAAGACTGTCAACAAATTTTCGAAGGTTCTATAATTGGTGGCAAAAACTTTTAACCTAATTGCTAAAGTTGACCCTGTTTGAACCCATTTTTCATTTTGTAATAGTATTTTTTGAAGACCACGCGGTTAGAAAGTAAAAAAAAAAAAAAAAAAAAACGATTATTAAGAGAATATATAGTCAAAAATAAATTTTTAGATAATCGGACTCAAATGGAGAATTAGCACACACCTATGTTATTTGTATCTCTTAGACTGTGTTTGATAGGCCACATTTTTCGGGAAAGTAGGAAAATATTTTTTACTTTCCACTTTTTTGGCTGTTTGATAGGCGAAATTTTTCACGGAAAATAATTTCCGAATTTTCCCCACACGTGTGCAATTTCCGGGTTTTTGATGAAAATGTTTTCCATCCTTTTTTGTGGGAAAATATTTTCCCAGCTGGCTGTAAAATTTTTTTTTTTTGGGTAATGGAAACAAATGTCATAATTAATGCAAAAAAAAAAAAAATTCACTTTAATGGACAATTTTCATGTAAAATAAAATCAAACGAACACTAAATTTTGATAAAAAAAATGATTTTTTAGGAAACAGATTTTTTTTCCTTTTTGGCAATGGAAACAAATTTTATAACCAATTGTGGAAAAAAAATATCACTTTAATGGACAATTTCCATGTAAAACAAAGCCAAACGAATAGAAAATTTAAAAAATTTCCGGGTGGAAAATTATACCAATCAAACACACTTTGAAATCATTTTCCCTACAAAACATTTTCTACGCAAATCTTTTCCCTGTAAAACATTTTCTTTCCACCCATTTTCCACCCTTACAATCAAACGTACCCTTATAGACATAATAAGTCGTACTAATATTCTTACAAAACAATTGTTGCCCGCCTATTCATGCTTTCTTCCCAACAACAATGAGAGGTCAATAAGTGAGTATAACGGACTAAGGTTCCATTTAGGGCAGGATTTTGAAAAGTAAAAGGTTGATTTTGATATTAAGAAATTATTTTTGAACGTATTTAAATAATTTTCAAAAAGTACTTTGTCTGATTAAAAGAGACTTTGAAAAAAATTGGTCTAAACTAACTCGTAATTAACGAATAATGTTATTCGCAAATAGTTCACTATCGTAGTTGTCTTATGTGTCATACATGTGACGACGATTAGTTATTAGATGCACGAGGTAATAAAAAATTACCACATTAATGCATCAAATCAATAACCGTCACATGTATGTCACGTAAGGTGACTAAAGTAGTGAACGACTGCAAATATCATTACTTGTAACTTTATTAAGAAGTTCTGCTCGAAGTAGAAGCCCTACCAAACATACATTATGACTTTGTTTGGTAAGGATTAAAATCTAAAATTTAACTTAAATTAAAGGCAACAATTAATTTTAATCACGTATTTTATGAAATGCACAATTTTTGAACCACATATTTTATCAACTTTTATCAAAATTTATTAAAAATTCAATTTTAATCGTCCCAGATTAGGGGTTATATGCATGTTCATTTTTTATTTTAACAAGTTAAAATATAGACAAAATTAATGCAGTCGACTATATTTACAAAAGATTTATAAATACTAAAGACACATTTGATAGAGCAGTTTTTCCTTCTGTTTCTCGTAGACGATCTACCTGAGGAAGTTACGTTAAGTTAAATTTCTTTAAAATAATTTATAACAACATTTTTAAAAAATTATCAAAATACATTAAAAGCCCCTGCTAAAGATTATTATGTTTCACATTCTACTTTACACACACTTAGGACCAAAATAAAGAAGTGATTCTTGAAGTTCGATTTTATATTATGCTAGTTATTAGTTAATTATTTTTAATTTATTACAGTTCACTAATTTACAAATCTCACAGTATCATCTTAGTGAATTAGTTTATATTATCTCAAAATATTTTAATCATAAATTGGTGAGGAATAGCGATATTTTTCTAATTGGAATAAAATTAAATAAACATTTGGGACAAGCAATTGACTTTTGAAAGGGTATTATCATTTATGATTTGGACCACGTAACATGGGATTGTCAATTTTATTATGTCAAAAACATTGTCCCATATTCCAACTGTCCAATTTACATGAATTTTTCACATTATCTTGATTTTGATTGTTGAGTTTACTAAAATTTAAAATCAATAGTTTTGATTAATTTAGTTTTGTCTAATTGTTAGGTGACATTATTTGTCTAAGCTTAAGATTAAAGGACAAGTGTTTTTGCGTCGAAATTTATTTGCTTTTGTTTCATGAAGTCATCTGTAATAACTAAAGATAGCGACTTGTTTATTATTCCTCATCTCCTCGTGCATTTTAATGGTAAATGTAGATTAATCCCTCAAGAAACCTTAATTCCAGACTCGAAAAAACAACCAAACGATCACCAATCAATAGGCTCGACCCAACAATCCTCTACACCTTGGTTGCCTTAGTTTTATCCTCACAATGGAGACAATTGGTGATGGGGATATGCAACCCACATAAGGAGGAAGGAGGGGAGAAGAGCAATGATTGAATTTCACCAAGAAACTCACCTCAAATCCGGCTGCCTCTCCTCTCCACACTCTTGCACACACTTCATCCCACACATACAAAAACCGGCTATAAACTTGAATATATATAGCACAATGATTGGTGATCGTTTGATTATTTTTCTGAGCCCGAAATCAAAGTTTCTTGAGGGATTAATCTACAGTAAATTATATCTCGAGTTCAATGTAATTGAATTTGTAATCTTACATGTTTCTCGAACTTGTAACACCACGTTCAATAAATTTATGTTCTTTTTCTTTTTGTGAAATATTTTTTTTATCTTCATGCATTGAACGAATACTCGAATTAGCTTATAACTCAAGTTTATTCTCCAAACTTCCTAAAGAGGATAAATATTGCATACATACGACAATTTTCATACATCATTGCAACATGATATTTGTAGTCGTTGTGAAGTGTTACACAATAATTCATTAGTGAGTGGCGTTGAATACATTAGCAAGAAGGCCAAATGGAAAATTTCTAGTGGTGTGCACGGCACTATTCTGCGTTGTCCAACTGTGAGAGTCCAGAAACCCTAAATGGGCAAGCGGGTCCCGGGTGGGTCCATTAAATATGGCTCTGGTTTTACATATCATTTAGAGGAAATTACATATTTCCAAACATTTGAAGATCCAAGTGCAAAAATCAAGTGCAAAATTGTTTTAATCAAAACTCAGGTATAAAATTAATAATTAAATATTTATATATACAACCCTAAATCAATTTCATCTCCACTCGTTTCATTTTCTCCCTCTCCTCTCTCATATCTCCCCCCTCGTGCTCGCCGCCGTCAAGGAGCATCACTACCAGAGATCCTCGCCTAGAGAAACATTGTTGTTGTAATGAAGAGGAGGTCGTGGCGAAGCAGATCCACCGTAGTAGCTCGATTTGGATTTTTCTCCTTCAGGACCATCGCCTGGAACACCCATCGCCGGTGGTGTTGATGTTGGCGGTATTCACTAGGTGGTGTTGGTCTTGGTCTTGGTGACGACGGTTGTGATTTTGTGTGCTGTATGTAGTGGCGGTGGTTACTGTGGTGGCATCTAATCTCAACCCATCGATCCTCGGCGGCTGGCACAAAATTTTTTCTCTCTAATGGCCACCGACGACACGTCAGGAGAGTACAATGGTAGAAGCGGTAGTGTGGTGGTGGTTCATGGTTGGCAGCGATTTTATGATTTTGTGGTGGTGTTGGATTTAGTGGTGGCTGCTTTGTTGGTGGTAGGGTTTTGGTGTGGTGGTGGTGTATCTGATAGAGTATGTTGGATTTGATGGTGACGGTGACTGTGGCGGTGGTGGATCTGGTGGTGGTTGGCTTGGGCATGGTGCTGTGTGTAGCAGTTGGCTTAATGACGGTGGTGTACTATCAAAGTGATAATCATGATTGGAGGTGAAAATGGGTATTGGTTAATTTGTGACCAATCATTTTTTTATCTGTGACCTAAAAATTACATAATCTGTGACCGCGAATTATATTATTTGTGACCGTAAAAAATCTGTGACCAACTAATTTGGAATATCTGTGACCGTGTGACCTATAAATTTTGATATGTGACTAACTAATTTTGAAATCTGTAACCAACGAATTAAATGTGACTTATAAAATTTTTGAACTTGACCATTAAATAATCTGTGACGTATAAAAATTAGTATTTGTGACTGAAAAATAATATATGACTAATTCAATTATAAATCTGTGACCGGAATGATTGTCGGAATAGTCGCCGGAATGGTCACTGGAATCGGAGCAGTAGCCAGAATGGTCGTCGGAGAAGAGTGGTCGCCGGAATAGTCCCCGGAGCGATAGGGGTGATGCATGTGGGGTGGGTTTATTATATTATATTATATTAAAATTTAAAAAAAAAAAAAACCTGATTTTTGAATTTTCAAACTATAAACATGATTTTTGAATTGGTGTAAACTAAACACCTTATTTATGAATTTTTCCCTATCATTTAAGCCCCTATTTAGTGCTCGTCATTTCAGAGAGAGAGAGAGAGTTATGAATAACATTTTTAGAAGAATGTGTAGTTAAAATATAGAAAAATTTCAAAATTAAGTACAGATATTTTATTGTGTGTATTAGAAAGAATATTTGACATAACTTAATCTAACAAAATCGGTTTGTTAGGGGAAGATTGTTCCTACCTTATTAAGTGGATCTTGTAAATAT